AGATCCAAAAAGTGCATTGTTTTCTGCTGTTTGCTCTGCTGGATTTTGTCTCTTGTGGCAAATATTGCTATTGCAAAGCATGTAACTGGTCCGGTGAACAGCAAAAACTTGAGTATGGAAAAGATGTACAGGTACTGTTCCTCCCCCTCTTTAGGGAGAGTGCTCTTCTCAGTAACTGCAGTCATTTACTGCTTCACAGATGGTTTGTGTCTGGCCCTGATGGTTTGGACGAGTGGTTCCATGGTCCTGATTCTGTATCAGCACAAGCAGAGAATCCAACACATCCGCAGCAGGAGCCTCTCTCCAAGGACCTCTCATGAAACTAGAGCCACCCACACCATCCTCACCCTGGTGATCATGTTTGTCTCCTTTCATAGTCTGGCAAGTATTTTATCATTTTGGATAACTCAGATCCAGAACCCAGGCCACTGGCTGAGGAATGTGACTTTCCTAGTGTCTTCCAGCTTCCCAACATTTTGTCCCTTTGTGTTCATTGTCACGGACACCCGAGTATCCCAGTTCTGCCTTGCCTGGTGGACGAGGAAGAAAAGCACTCCAAGTATGGTTTCAGGGCTATAAGTCTTCTCCAGAATTTTCATTTATTCTTTCATGCCCTTGCCAATATTTGAGGGTTCATATACAGTGCCAGCTAATGTGCAAGGACTTTCAGATTCAGTATTGAATAAAAATGATGATAACCATAGTTTTAAATTGCTTATTAGACTGCAAAAAATGAACACAATTCACATAATTACCCAAATATAGATTGGTTCTTTAAAAATTGAAATACTTAGAATTACCATATGATCTCACAACTTCAGTTTTGAGATGTATCCAAAAGAAATAAAAGCAGGAGCTTGAACTGATATTCATACATCCCTGTTCAAGGCAGCATTGTTTACAATCTACAAAAATGACAATCCACCCAAATGTCTGTCAATGGATAAATAGTTAAAAAAAAGTTGGTATAGAATTACATGGGATTCATAGTCAGACTTTAAAAGAAGTTGATTTGATTCTTAAACACAGTGGAATGTGGATGAAGCTTGAAGCCACCAGGTCAAGTGGAATAAGCCAGTCACACGGGGAAAATATTGAGTGATTCAACATACAGGAGGAGACCCCCCAAAACTTTGAATTTATTCATAAAATAAATAAACATGTAAGGATACATGTTTAAACTTTATTCACCTTCAAAACCCTCTCTTTGATTCAATCCCACTATCGAGACACATCTTCATCTGGAGAAACAAAGAGCTTGGGTGAATAGGGAGGGTGGGACACTGGGATTTGATGCCATTTTTGTAAAAATGATGCCATTTTTGTTAAAAAATTATTGAACACTCAGCATGGTGTGGGTAAGTACTGTTGTCATGGTTGAAGAACCAGTCTCCTGTCTGCCACTACTCAGGATGTTTGTTCCCCAATACAGACTCTCACAGCAACGCTAGCTGGTCCACTGATGCTGATGTGAAAACACATACCTTGTGGGAGAAGCCTGTACTACAAGGGCCCCACTCGCAAAAAGATGATTTATGTTTTTTTTGGTCCCCCCTCATAAAACAGGTACCTGTGAGATTGGTGAATCTCATAGAAACATAAAATAAAATATTGGCTACCAGGATCTGGGGTAAGGGGAAATGGTTTATTGATGTTTAATAGATACAAAGTTTCAGTTGAGAAAGAAGAAAAATTTTGGAGATAGAGGTTGGTGATGGTCACACAATATGTGAATGTACTTCACACGAAAAACAATTAAAAATAGTACAATTAAAAATAGTTGAGATGACTGGTTTTATGCTATACAGATGTTTGATTCCTTAATTTGGAGAACGAGAGCTGAAAACTTAAAACCAAGAAATAATGGCTAAACTAAAATCTACTGTTAGCCAATAAAGAGCCGTAAAGAACATCACAAGCTCTCTCTCTCTCTCTCTCTCTCTTTCTCTCTCTCTCTCTCTCACTCTCTGTCTCTGTCTTCTCTCTGTGTGTGTCTCTCTGTCTCACTCTTGCTGTCATCACAGAAGTTCATAAGGAGATCCATCTGTGAAGAAAAAAAAGACAAATATCTGATACTTGGGATATGTTTCCCCAGTGTCCTCCTTTTCCATCATAAATATGCAACCTGACATGATGGGTCAAATGTGTGAAGCATGAGTCCTGACAGGTCAGACATGCTTCAGTCTCATTACGTTTTAGGATTTTGTCCACTGTAGACATTTTCACTTTTCCCCTTAATAATTAGGTATAGTGTAGAATCATCTACTCACAATTATTAATACGTTGATGATATTTTCCAGTGAATTTTATCATTGTCTTTTGCTCTTCAGAAATCCAGTCCCAAGAAGCTTACCATTAATTGTATAATAATTTGTGTTTTCTGTAGCAGTTTTTGAATTGTTTTTATTTATTGTAGACACAATGAACTTTACTGAGTAAAGACATTTATTTTAACATTAATGAATGCAACTTAAGTTCATGGAATTTCTTCATTTCTGTAAAAATTTCAGTCACTCAATTTAAGAATTGTGTGGTATCGTTATTTCTTTCCTTTGAAAATTGTGATTCAATGATACCTGTGTACGCTCTCATTCTGTTGCTATGTATATTAATTATTTTATCTACTTTTATATTTCTCTCTGATGTATTCTGTAAAATGTTCTGAATAGTCTGCCCCAATTTAAAATGTTCCATATCATCTGTGTTGTCCTTGATGAAATTACTTTTTACTTGTGTTAACACAATTTACTCTTTTTCACCTCCATAATAACTGCCTCACTCATTTCTAAAGTTTCCTGTTCTTCTCTAGCCTAGTCTTTGTTGTTCATTCCTGTTGCATGAGTTTCCTCCTACACACCTGATCCTCTTACATGGTTTCTCCCAAAGTCGACTCAAAAAACCCAAGAAACAAAAAAACTGATAAAGGAGATGGCTGCAGCCGCTCTTCCCTATGTAGCCTGCTCCTGTGGTGTCCATGCTTCCAAACTTAGCATCAGTTCATTGTGCCAGCAGGGATGGTCCTCCCTGAGCCTCACATTCACATGGGAGAGATGCCCAAGTCCAAAAATGGAGTGAAGATGCTTTGCACACACGCGGGGAAGTTGGCTTCATGCTGACCCTGGGCCTGGGTTAGTGAGCTGAGATATCGCAGAGTCTGTCTACAAACGCAGGGGAAGGGAAGCTACAGACTCTAAAAGGACTCCATGTTCCCCTCACTTTCTTCTCTGTCCTGACAAAGAGGCTCAGAGTGGCATGACAGCTCTGTGACCTGGCCAGTCATTTGTTTTTACCTTCAGATATTGACCCAGCTGGGGCATTGAACATTTCCAGATACTAATAGAGATGTTTTGGTTCTTTTTCAAAAAACACTCAGAAATTAACCCTTTTGCTAAACATAAAGAAACTAATCATATACTGAACCAACATTCATAAATTCTTTTATAAAACTCCATAACCCCAAACTCTCCCAGACATTGGGTCATAGTCAGGAATTAAACATCCACTCTCACTCAGCTCCTCAAACCACACCTCCAAACTAAATAATTGGTTATAAAACCAAGAAAAGAGACTGAGCTGTAGGAACACACCCAAAGAAACAAGGGACTCTGAGAAGGAAAAATTGACTCAGATTTGTCTTCCCAAAGAGGGGGTGGGGGGAGGTTAGATGCTGTTGCCAAAAGTAGAAAAACAAAAGTGGAAACTATTTGATAGAAAGAAAACCCAGAATCTAGGGCAAGGAGAGAAGTCATGTTCTTCCCTCATTTCCCTGAATTCTCCTTTGTGCTCTCTGCCACGTGCATATGTGTGGCTTGTCATGAACTGCACACTCAGGTGATAACTGTGTCTCTGCTGACCTGAGTCTGCCATGTAGTATGAACCTCCATCATCCCTGAAGCATCTCGAGGGCTGGTGAGATGACTGGTCAAGGTGAGGACCCTGCAAGGATGTGCTAATGGACTGATGAATGAGCTGAAGAGTTAAAGGGATTGCATGAGAGACTCTGAGAGTAAAGGAGAAACCCTCAGTCACTCTCATCTGGAAAAGCCAGACTCAGAATGGAAAATGGTATATTTTCTGCTATATCCTTAACTTCAGTGAGATGAGGACACATCAGACAGATTTTTTCCAGGGTTCAAGACATATGGCATTTCTGGGTGAAATGTCTCCAGAGATCCTGTTATTCACCCCAGGTCTAACGTTGAAATGAGAGCTAGGATTTGGGGGAGGGAAGTTTCCCTTCCTGTGAGACTGCTGATGTGACAATCCTGTGACAGCAATAACCCAGCCCCAAGTGGCCAAACTCTGTGTGTCTGTTTTTTTCTGCCAAACACCACACTCTCACTCATCTGCACAGTGAGAAACCATAAGAGGAGATACCATGACCTCCGCCCTCACAACCCTGTTCTGCCTTGTTGAGATTTGAAGAGGGGGAAGAAAGACCCTAGACTGAGACGAACCCTACTGCACATCCAGCGCTGGTCAAAGAGGAGAACCCAAGGGCTCAGGAGGCTCTGGGGAAGAAAAGGATTTGTTCAGTCTTCAGAGGCCCAATCTCTCATAGGAACTCCATTCCAGGGCTGAGTCCGGGCTCCTAAACATGAGTGTAGGCAGGTGACTCTGTCCTCAATTCTGCCAGGGGCCTACTCCTCACTGGGGCCAAGGGAGTATTTCTGGACATCTGGGGATGCAAAATACACATTCTGGGCTGACTGATGAGGACATTAGGAGGGTTCTAGATCTGAGAGCTGGGATCTGAGGAGTGGGGATATCATGGGACCTAGGCTATTATTTCATGCCAGAGATACTCCTCAAACTCATACTGTGGACAGAACCAGACTTAGTGACCACCAGGATAAACTCCATGCCTATCTGGTGTCAGGAGACTCTCTAGGCCCCTGGAGTATCATCTGTATAGAGAAAAAACTCTTGTGCCCAGGAATATACAGAGGACACAAGATCCTGGGAACAAGGGCAAGTTCTACATTCTATTCATGACAAAGGATCACACAGGAAGATAATCACTGTCTTACTAGTTGGTCAGAGCCCAGTGACCCCTTGGAGCTGGTGGTGACAGGTGAGAGGACACTTGGTTCTCAGCTCCACTCTCTTTCCTCAGGAAGGGTGTTTGCTCTCAGGGGTGTTTCTCATCTCACTGCTCAGCCCTTGGGGATCATGTGGGAGGAGTGAGCCTCACTTAACATGGTGCCTCCTTCTCTTCTAGGAACCTACAATGGACCCTCCCTCTCAGCCCTGCCTGATCCCATGGTGACTCTAGGAGAGAATGTGAGCTTGCAGTGTGACTCATGGCTGACATTTGACTAATTTGCTCTGTGTCAGGAAGGAGGAAATTGCTGTTACCAATTCCTGAACCCACAGTTTCACATGCAAAATGGTCCAGCTCTCTTTTCCATGGGTCCAAATCACTGGTGAACATACAGATGTTCTGGTTATTTCCCAAGTTTTCCCTATGAGTAGACTTCTCCTGCAATCTCCTGGAGCTCCTGATCTTAGGTGAGAAATTTACAGCATTGCCCAGAACTCCTAAGTCTCCAGAAAAGATAGGAGACTTGTGTCAGGTACAGCTCCAGGTAAAATGATAATGGGTAAGAGAGCTCAGGGTTTCTGGGTCCAGAGACTTAGATAGATCATAAGTGCTGAGGCCAAGGGAGAGAGGGAGAATTCAGCTCTTGGAACCCATGACCACCTCTTTCCAGGTGTGTCTAGGAAAGCATTAATCTTGGTGCAACCAGGTACTGCCATGGTCCCTGGATAGGCCAGACCCACCCGTGTTACTCTGATATCAGCTATGAAAGAGTCACTCTTTCCAAGGAAGGAGAATGTGACCTCCCCAGTACTTTGATTGGCATCCTCAGTCTGAGATCTCTCAGGCCAAATTCCCTCTGATCCCTGTGAATGGCTCCCATGGTGGCCAGTACATATACTACTGTGAATACAACCTCTCCCCTGGTGGTCATCCCCCAGTGACCCCCTGGGCATGCAGATCTCAGGTGAGGAGCTTAGTGGATTCAGTCAGGGATACCGACCCTGTGTAGGCCCTACCAGAGGAGCCCTAGGTGATGATGGTTGGGATGAGTGGTGGGGGTTGCAAGGGAGGTAGAGACAGAGAGAGACAGGAGGTGGAGAGGAGGGAGAGACTAAGAAGCAACAGAGACAGAGTGATTGAGAGTCCTCAGTGAGAGACCCTGTGGGGATATCAGCTCAGAATAAGGTTGGGCAGCCACTTCTCCTTCTCTTCTCTCTAGTAGAGCTCCCTCACAGATCATCCTTCTCAGTGCAGTTTGGCCCCTTGGTGGCCTCTGGAGAGAACGTGACCCTCCCGTGTCAGTCATGGAACCCAGTGGATGCTTTCCTTTTGCCCAAGCAAGAGGCAGCTGGTCCCTCCCTGCTTCTAAGATCAAAATACCAATCACAGGTCTACCAGGGCAAGTTATCCATGAGTCGTGTGACCTCATCCCACTGGGGGATGTACAGATGCTATGGCTCACACAGCACCTTCTCCTACCTGCTGTCACACCCCAGTGACATCCTGAAGCTGGTGGTCTCAGGTGAGGGACCCGCATCTTGTGCTCTCTGAGCTCACGGGGTGAGCTCTGGGCTCAACCCCAAGAGAGTTCTATGTAATAAGGTATGAGAAAAGTAAATGGGAAGGGTGCACAGGGGTGGGTCCAGCTCTTGAGAAGTTGGACATAGACGGGAACCTCCCACCCCTCTAGTCTCAGTAAGAGAAGACAGGGCTGGAAGGACATATGAGTGAACCTCAGAGGACTCATGATCAGACTGAGGGGAGAAGACAGAGGCCCCACACATTCACCTCCTGATGTCTCCTCAGAACCAAAACCTCTGGATGTCCCAGTCTCTCACCAACAAGTCCTGATTTATGGGTGGTGGAAACTTGGTCACCAGAGCCCAAGGAAATTGTCTGTAATTACCTAGGCTTTATTCCCAATACTGGGGGAGAAGGGAGTGCTAATCATCAGAGGAAAAGGGAGGAAGATGAACATTAATGGTATGGACATAATTATCCTTGGCCCTGAGGTTGGATCAAATTTCCTCTCTGTGGTGGTCAGGGAAGAGGGAGGTTTCTGATTCAGGCATGAAGGAGAAATCAGAGTTGATGAGTTGGAGAAGACGAATCTGTTCCTTTTTCCCTGAGTAGGATTCCAGAAGCCATCACTAATCCCTGGGAAGCCAGGACTGGGGGAAGAAACATGGCAGGGGCTTAGTATAGGAGTCATGGAGCGGTGGTATAAGGGAGATGGACGGAGTCTGTTTTGGCTCAGCCTTTCCAGGGAGGTGTAACTTCTGAAAAAGTCACTACAACTCCTGCCCTGGGTTCCCTATCTACTAAAGGAGAACTGCCTGGACATGACCTCTAAACTCCCTCCATTTCTGACCTTTTCGAGCATCTTGAATCCTCTTTTGTCTCTAGGTCTTTCTGGGTCTGTTCTGCTTCTCTCAACTTCTATGTCTTGTAAGGGTTAAAAAGACAAGTGAGACAGGGCAGGTGCATGTGGCTTTTGTCCATCAGTTCTGAAGTCTGAACTTTGTAAGATAAAGATGTAATATTATAAGAACATGTTTAATAAAATCCCTTTGTTTTGGAATCTCTCCTTTCCCATGTGTCACACAAAATTGTCCATATTTTCCACTAAAAACCATGTACCCCAGCTCTTCATGACCCCAAGGTCCTTTCTCTACCTTGGCAGCATGTGATGAGTAGAAGCTGAAGAATGGGCTGGGTCAGCAGAGTTTGGGGTCTGGTCTACTGTTGATTCAGGGCAGATGCTGGGACTGATAAAGGAGGAAGAGGCTAATCTAAGTGGAGAGAGGACTGCTGGACACTCCCGCAGCTCTTATTCCTCATTTTCAAAGACCCTGAGAATGGAACCCCTCATGCACACACAAGGGGTCGCCGAGCCCTCTCAGGACAGGGCAGGAGGCTGCTCAGGCCTGGGTGGGATCTGACTGTGATGAATGTGGAGCCCATAGCAGACATGTTCCTTCAGAGAGAAGCCCCCAGCCTTGGGTATCACTCAGCAGGGCCCCTACTGTAGAGGCCTGATGGCCTGTATACTGAGGGCACACCAAAAACTAAGGGGAGATCATGCACTTATTCCCTGGGGCAAGTTAGGGAATCATCCAAAACACATCTTCAGTGTAATTAATTTCTACTCTGCACACCTTTTTTTAATCGTTGCTCTGCTTCTGAACCTTTTTAAGCAATATTGAACATATAAATTTATAATTTAATTTATGTGATATAAATTTACCATTTAAAAATAAGCAATTTTAGCCAGGCTTGGTGGCTCAGCCTGTAATCCCATGATTTGAGAGGCTGAGGTGAGTGGATTACCTGAGCCCATGTGTTTGAGATCCACCTGGGCAACTTGGCGAGACCTCATCTCTACAATAAATCAAAAATCAACCGGGCGTGGTAGTGCATGCCTGTAGTTCCAACTACTTAGAAGGCTGAAGAGGAAGGATCGCTGGAGCCCAGTAGGTCGAGACTGCAGTGGCCAGGAGCGAGCACTGCACTCCAGTGTGGGCGACAGAGTGAGACTCCAACTAAAAAAAATAGCAATTTTAGTATCATTTTTAAATGGGGCTTGATTTATTTTATGCATTCACTTTAGAAAATAATTTCTTATTAATATCAAGTATTCCTACCCAAAGCATTTAAAATTGAGGTTTATTCACTGCTCAAAGAAATCAAAGATGTTACAAACAAGTGGAAAAATATCCCATGCTCATGGATTGGAAGAATCAAGATTGTGATGTCCTTCTTACCTAAGGCAATCTACAGATTTAATGTAATACCCGTCTAATTACCAGCAACATTCTTCTCATACCTAGAAAACACAAATGAACAATCCTCAGCCAAACACACACACACACACACACACACACACACACACACACACACACACACACACACAAAGCAGGAGGTAACACATTACCAGGCTTCAAACTTTACTATAAAGCTACATAATCAAAACAGCTTGGTATTGGTACATGAACAGGCATGTAGAACAATGGAATAGAATTGAGATTCCAGAAGCAAAACCAATTTCTCAGTCAACTCATCTTCGACAAAGCCTCCACCACCAACCACTGGGGAGAGGAGAACCTATTCAGTAAATGGTGCTGGGAAAACTGGCTGACCACTTGCAGAAGACTCAAACAAGACCCCTATCTATCCTCATTCACAAAAATTAACTCTAAATAGATCAGAGACCTAAATGTAAAACCTCAAACCATAAGAACCTTAGAAAATGCAGGACACACCCTTATGGGAATTGGAGCTGGCATCCAATTCCTGAAAAAAACCTGAAACGCACAGGCCATAAGAGACAAGATAGGAAAGTGGGACCTCAGTATACTGACAAGCTTCTGTAAAGCCAAATAAACCATCAAGAGAGCAGGGACACAGCCCACAGACTGGGAAAAAGTATTTACCAGCTCCAGTTCTGAAAAAGGCCTAATATCTTGGATCTACAAGGAAGCCAAATGTGCTGAAAAGAAAAAAAACAAACATTCCCATTACAAAGTGGGCAAAAGATATGAACAGACACTTCTCAAAAGAAGACATACGAGCGGCCAACAGACACATGTAGAAATGTTCAACCTCACTAATCATCAAAGAGATGCAAATTAAAACTACACTGAGATACCACCTAACTCCAGTCAGAATGACCATTATCAATAACTCAAAAAATAACAGATGCTGGAGAGATGTGGTGAAAAGGGAACACTTCTACACTGTTGATGGGAGTGTAAACTAGTGCATCCTCTGTGGAAAGCAATGTGGTGATTCCTGAAAGCTCTAAAAATCGACCTTCCATATGACCCCGCAATCTCCCTACTGGAAATATACCCTGAAGAATTCCAATCACTGTATAAAAAAGATACCTGCACACGTATGTTTATCGCAGCATGTTCACAATAGCAAGATAATGCAGCCCATCAAAAGATGGATTAAAAATGTGGTACATATACATAATGGAATATTATGTAGCCATAAAAAAGAACAAAATCATGAATTTTGCAGCAACCTGGATGGAATTGGAATTTATAAGACTGAGTGATCTCTCACAGAAACAAAGATCAGAGTATAACATATTCTCACTTGTAAGTGAACCTTGAACAACTATCGTAATAGTATAAGAAAAGAATTGACAGGTGGTGGGAAACTATGGGGGGGCAGGGAGGGAAGGGAGGTGGGATTAATGGTAGTTGATATTTGCCTGGGAGTTGGGAGAACATCTCATCAACAAGGGTACCTGCTCAATGCATATTTGTATACCTAACCCTTAGCTGTACCCCACAATTTCAAAATAAAAAACATGTTAAATAAAATTGAGGTTTATTAATGAACTTAATTGCTTTGAAAACCTATTAAGAATAAATGTACACCTTAATTCGCATTTAAATAGTTGCTCAACTACTTTAACAATTCATAAGTGAGGTATTTGATTCCCTTATATTTCTAGCTTAAAAGTTAGGTGTATACAAGGGAGCTATTTGTGTGAACATATTAATGTACTTCATATTATCTCAATAGAGAATTTCTCCTTTTCCATTGCTTTTTAAATTTTAAACTTTTCATTTTAAATATATGGGGTGCAATTCAGGGTTAGGTATACAAATGCTCATTATGCAGGTACCCTTGTTGATGAGATATGCCTCTCCTCTCCTGGCAGTTTCCAACCACTTCCAATCCCTTTCTTATAGCATGATGATAATTTTTCAAGATCTGCTAATGAGTGAGAACATGTGATAATCAGTCATTTGTTTCTGTGACAGATCACTCAATACCATACACTCTAAGTTCATCCAAGTTGCTACAAAATTCATAATTTTGTCCTTCTTTATGGCTGTGTAATATTCCATTGTGTGTGTACCACTTTTTTTTCCAGTCCTCTTTTGATGGGCAGCACGGTTGGTTCCATGTTTTTGCTATTGTGAATAATGCTGCAATAATCATGCGTGTGCAGGTATCTTTTTCATAGAGTGATTTGAGTTCCTCTGGGTGTATTCCCAGAAGGGGAATTGTGGGGTCATATGGAAGGTTGATTTTTAGATATTTTAGAAATCACCACACTGTTTTCCACAGAGGCTGTACTAGTTTACACTCCCATCAACACTGTAGAAGTGTTCCCTGTTCCCCACATCCTCTCCAGCATCTGTTTTTTTTTTTTTTTTGAGTTATTGACAATGGCCATCCTGACTGGAGTTAGGTGGTATATCAGTGTAGTTTTAATTTGCATTTCTTTGATGACTAGTGAGGCTGAGCATTTTTTTCATGTACCTGTTTGCTTCTCAAATGTCTTCTTTTGAGAAGTGTCTGTTCATGTCTTTTGCCCACTTTGTTTTTTTAATTTTTTATTATAAAGATGTGGAGTACATTTCAGGGTTAGATATATAAACATTGATCAGGCAGGTACCCTTTTTTTGAGGTGATGCCCTTCCCTGCCCTAGCAGTTTCCTTCAACTGCCAATCCCATCCCACCCGACAGTTTCTCACTACTACCAATTGCTTTCTTAT